AAAGTAGTTATTTTTGAATGGTTGTAATTAATACATGACACTGCAATTTAAAATTCCTATTATGGTTAAAATACAAATTAACGAGTTGGACTTAGTGACCTTTGCATAGTTTACATGTATAGGTACTTATAGTGTGTTGTGCGTGTATGTAATACAATTGTTGACCTGCCACAACTTAAATTTATCAAAATCAATACATTTCCATACAATTAGTACTGCCTATATAATAATAATATTATTATTTTGTTATAATCAAACATTTTTTAATTTTTTTTTTTAAATTATTTATAAACAATTATAAAACGTAATAAATTTAATTTTAACTGTTCAATAATAGTTAAGATAATCATATAATCATATAATATACAATTTATTATACTTGGATTGTTACTGTGTGTACCAGGTACCTACCTAAAGTACCAATTAAATGATATTCGCGTAAATTGTTTACACGCATCAGCAGAATATGTGAACACGCATAAGAGTTCTAAATTTCTGATTATTAAATTCGATTTACTTATAGTCCAATTCCCAATAATTTTCACTCGCAGTCGTACAATGTCACGATTACACGAGTATCATGATCGCAGATAAACCATAGATATAAGGCAAACATAAGTTTTTAATTTTTACGAATTTCTAACTGAAAACAACTTGCAAATTTACGTGATTTCGTGATTGATAATTATAAAAATTCGAACTTCAGACGCTCATAAAAAATTATTGTGGATTTACGCTCAATTTTTTTTATAATTTCCACTAACAAAAACTTACCAGGAACCTTGTACTACATTTTAAAAAATTGTTGATAGAGCGAAAAGTTTTATGGACATTAATAATTAAAAAAAAAAATATATATAATGGAAATTTCAGCATGTTCTATAAATAGCTCAACATGAGTCAAAATATTTTGAAAATTTGACGGTGTATGGAAAATAATAATGTAAAAATTCAGTGAAAATGTCATGTATGTACGATAAATTTGTTTAGGGTTACACTAAAACCAAAATTGATTTTGAGTAAAAATTTCCGTTTTCCTTTTTAGATTCTGAGTGAAACGATGAATGTATTGATTTTACAATGATGTGTGTTTTTTTTAGATTCTGAGTGAAACGATGAATGTATTGATTTTACAATGATGTGTGTTTTTTTTTTTATTTTTTTTTTATTTTTTTTTTTATTTTTTATTTTTATATTTATTTTTTTGTGTCTGTGTACACGATAAGTAGTCGAAATAATGCTTCGATTTTCGACTTCAGTATCTTGTTCGATTGGAAAGTGAATATCGTTGGTGCATTGGGGAGGTCAAAATTTAAATTTCCCAGTAGTTTTCAAGAGCGCCGGGAAAAACAAAAGAAAAATTAAGGAAAAACGGGAATTTTTACGCAAAATCGATTTTTCAGAAAATTGAATTTGGTTTTTGGTGTAACTTTAAAACAAATGACCGTAGGCACATGCAATTTTCACTGGTTGTTTATATTTGCATCTTCTATACACGATAACATTTTCAAAATATTTTGATTTATTTTGAACAGTTTAGGGACATTTTCATTTTTAGTTTTTTTTTAGTTTTTTTTCTAGAAATATCAATAAAATTTTATTTGTTGGTTGCGAAAGCTTGAAAATTTAATAGAAGGCTCCTAATATATTGTTTCAAAGGCAGATGAAAAATATTAAAAATCCTTAGTCACAAATTTTTTTTATAAGCATTTAAAGTTCAAAAATTGACAAAATATGGAAAAATCACGAAAATTAGCAAATTATTTTGAGTTAAGAATTCGTAAAAATTTTTCTTTTTAAATCTAAGATTTGAAAATCTAATACAAGATTACTCATAAGATTGTCTACCTTTATCAATAAAAAAATCTCTATAGGAAAGTCAAATTAAATTTTTATGAGCGTTTGAAATTCAAATTTTTACAACATTGGATATTCACTCGATTTCTCATGTGGCAATTTCCTTTTTTTGTTGTAATTAAAAAACGAATTACTGTAGATACATGAAAATTTCACTGAATGTTTATATTAGCATTTCCTATACACCATACAATTTTGAAAATATTTTGACTCTTTTTGAGCCGTTTACGGACATTTTCAGTTTTCAATTTTTTTAGTTTTTTTTTTTCTATAAATATCAATTAAGTTTTATCTGTTGGGCCAAAAAGTGTAAAAATTTAATACAAGGCTCCTGATATATTGTTACAATATCAGTTGAAAAATATTAAAAATACATAGGCACGATTTTTTTTTATAAGCATTTAAAGTTGGAATTTTGACAAAATTTATCAAAATCTCGAAAATTATCAATCGTTGGAATTAAAAAATTATAAAATGTTCAGTTTTTATAACTAAGAGTTGAAAATTTAAAACAAAGATTCTCTTAAATAATTCATACTGTAACCAAAAAATCTAAAAAATATATGAACACAGTTAATTTTTACAGACATTTTAAATCCAAATTTGGACGAAATTACATATTAAAATCAATATTAACGATCTTGGTTTTTCGTTGTAATTTAAAAATAGTATTCGGGGATATATGATACCTAATGGATATTGTGATATGATTAATTTGGAATTTATTATAGGTATCTATTATAGGTCAATTTTTTTTTTAATACCATCGATAAGTATATGTCTTATACCTAGATTGACATACCGTCTCCACTCAGAATCGTTTTTCTTATACAATGATATTATATCATTGAATTCAAATTTAATACCATCCATTATACCATGACCCACTTGTAACCTACAGTACAGCAGAGCGACATCCACTTACCCACCTTTTTTTATTTTTTTTTTTTATTTTTTTTTTTATTTTTTTTGTGTCTGTGTACACGATAAGTAGTCGAAATAATGCTTCGATTTTCGACTTCAGTATCTTGTTCGATTGGAAAGTGAATATCGTTGGTGCATTGGGGAGGTCAAAATTTAAATTTCCCAGTAGTTTTCAAGAGCGCCGGGAAAAACAACATAAAAATTAAGGAAAAACAGGAATTTTTACGCAAAATCGGTTTTCCAAAAAATCGATTCTGGTTTTTGGTGTAACTTTAAAACAAATGACCGTAGATACATGAAATTTTCACTGGTTGTTTATATTTGCATCTTCTATACACGATAACATTTTCAAAATATTTTGATTTATTTTGAACAGTTTAGGGACATTTTCATTTTTCGTTTTTTTTAGTTTTTTTTCTAGAAATATCAATAAAATTTTATTTGTTGGTTGCGAAAGCTTGAAAATTTAATAGAAGGCTCCTAATATATTGTTTCAAAGGCAGATGAAAAATATTAAAAATCCTTAGTCACAATTTTTATTTATAAGCATTTAAAGTTCAAAAATTGACAAAATATGGAAAAATCACGAAAATTAGCAAATTATTTTGAGTTAAGAATTTGTAAAAATTTTTCTTTTTAAATCTAAAATTTGAAAATCTAATACAAGATTACTCATAAGTTTGTCTACCTTTATCAATAAAAAAATCTCTACCGGAGAGTCAAATTAAATTTTTATGAGCGTTTGAAATTCAAATTTTTACAACATTGGATATTCACTTGATTTCTCATGTAGAGATTTCCTTATTTTGTTGTAATTCAAAAACGAATAACTATAGATAGGTACATGATCATTTTACTGAATGTTCAGATTAGCATTTCCTATACACTGTACAATTTTGAAAATATTTCGACTCTTTTTGAGCTGTTTACGGACATTTTCAGTTTTCAATTTTTTTAGTTTTTTTTTCTATAAATATCAATTAAGTTTTATCTGTTGGGCCAAAAAGTGTAAAAATTTAATACAAGGCTCCTGATATATTGTTACAATATCAGTTGAAAAATATTACAAATACATAGGCACAATTTTTTTTTATAAGCATTTTAAAATCGAATTTTGACAGAATTTTTCAAAATCTCGAAAATTATTAATCATCGTAATTAATAAATTATAAAATGTTCAGTTTTTATAGCTAAGGATTGAAAATTTAAAACAAGATTCTACGTAAGTAGTTAATTCTCTTACCGAAAAATCTAAAAAATATACAATCACAGTTTATTTTTATAGTCATTTTATGTTCAAATTTGGACGAAATTTCATATTAAAAAACCTAGTTATTTTGTTGTGATTATATAATATTATTCGTGGGTACGGGGTACCTACTTGAAACTTCTAAAGTGTATTATTATATATCTATGATAGTATCAGGGTTTGTTATTGATGTTGATGTATAACGTGTTATAAGTACTTAATGGATATTGTGATAATGTGATATGATTAATTTGGAATTTATTAAAGGTAAATTTTTTTTTAATACCATAGATATGTATATAATTTGTCTTAAACCTAGACTGACATACCGTCTTCGCTCAGAATCGTTTTTCTTATACAATGATATTGAATCATTGAATTCAAATTTAATAGCATCCATTATACAGTGACCCACTTGTGACCTACTGTACAGCAGAGCGACATCCACTTACCCACCTTTTTTTTTTTTTTTTGTTTTTCTCGGCGCTTTTTAATACTTATTTTAATTTTGACCTCCGCTCCACTCAGAATCTAAAGTTTTAAATTTTAGCTTTTATTTATTATTTTATTTACCCTATAGTATATAAAATCTTGGAACATTTATACATACTTATTATACTATTACTATTTGTGACAAAAATGAAATTAAAAATGATTTCCTAGTAGGTATCTACTATCTAGTATACTCTAATAGGTGATAGTTCGAAGTAATTTTTCTAATAGTCATCACTCACCAGCATAAAATATATTCTTAAAAACTTGATTAAGAACGTACAAAATCGCCTGATTGTATATTTGTATCGAGGGTTTTGTCAGTACCTACTATACGTAATTTGTCATTGTTGATTCTGAAATTAGGAGATACAACACTGTTCGTCGCGTATTATTCGTTTTATCGACTTTAGTCAACACAAATACAATAGGTTTCGAAATTTTTTTTTAATTTACCATAATATCCATAACAATAAACATGATTCATAAAGGATTTAAATTCATTTGTAATGGCAACAACAAGAAAGGAGTATCGTAAGTTAAAAACAATTAAATATTTATTTATGTATATCAAACTTTTTAATTTTTAATCATACAAAAATACAATATTAATACAAAATATTTTGATATTTAATTTATATGGTGTATTAAAACAATTTTAATTATAAATATTGTATAGTTACTTTAAGTGTGAACAATATCAAAGTGCCTTTTGTAAAGCATCAATAAAACAATTAAATAATGGACAAATAAAAGTGATTAAGGCACATCACACACACAGACTTCCTCAGAATGATAAAAAAAAGGAATTTAGAGAGATTTTGAAGAACAGAGACATTAATGAAATTGGGCTACTGAAAAATATTTATGACGAGGAAGCTCGAAAGTAATTTATTCTTAATTCTTAATTCCTAGTATTTAGTTCAAATTAACACTTAAATTTATTTATTTATTTTAGTAATAGGGAAGCATCTGCAATGTATCCTTGGTCAACAGCCGAAAAAATTATGCGATATGCCAGAAAAATTTCACTTCCTGAGTTACCCAACTCTTTAGAAGCTCTGGCTCTTCTATTTGATAACGGAGAACTTAATAGATTTACATGCACTCAGACAACGTTCTATAGAGGCTGTGTTCAAGACGATCAGGGAAATTATAATATTATTTTTGGATGTCCTGAACTAATACAGTCTGTAGTGGAAGCCGAAGTAGATGAGTTACACGTTGATGGCACATTTAAAGTTGTGCCAACTGGAATAAATGCAAAACAGTTGTTGGTGCTACATTGTATGATCCAAAACTATGTAAGCTAAAACATTTTTTACTTGATTTGAATTTATTTTATATAATATTATTCTATAACTTAAAAAACCTTAGTTACAAATCATAACTTATTATAAATTCAATATAATATATTTATGCTTATAGTCTATACCTGTGTGTTATGTATTGATGCAATCAAAAAGAAGGCCATCATATGAATGTGTTATTAGATACATAAAACAAAATATGCCGCAAAACCTGAACATTACGAGGATAATAACGGACTATGAATCGGCTTTAAAAGATACTCTGTTGTCACATTTTCCGCAAGCCAGATCAGTTGGATGTTGATTTCACCACAATCAAGCAATTCTGAAATATATATACTTATGAGATTTTATATGTAACCTCTTGCCATATTAAATATTTATATTTTTTTTTTATTTTCAAGAGTGATATTCTGATAACTATAATATATATTTAAAATTAAACTAAAAGATGTGTCTGTGGTTTCATATAATGTTTATCAAGGTTAACTTAGGATATTATGTATAATAAATGTACTAAAATAAAATAATATTTATTATTAAGCATACACAATTTTATTTTGAATACTTTGATATTTAAAACAAAATTTATAATTTCCTAGAACATTATAAGTAGGTAGTACATATTAAAGATATCATTTGTATAGTTAGGAGGTACCATCACGTATAAATTAAACGATGTATAAACTATAAATACAAATTATATAAAATAGGTACCTACACATTATAGTTACAGTTTATGTATATATATTTCATTTATTTATACTATTTTTAGCAAAGTTAATTGTATTTTGTATTATAATTTGATTAATAAATAGGCAGTTAGGCGAAAAATGAAGAAGTTGGGGTATTTAAATTTATTGAATACCAATGAATGGGCACTTAAATGCTTAAGATTGCTATTAAGTCTTCCACTCTTACCAGCTAACGACATTGAAAATGGGTTAAATAGGATTATTCAGTTGGCAAGAAGAAAAAATATAAATTTTGACAGACTCTTTGATTATTATAGAAGGTAACTAACTATAATATAAGTGATATAATATTTTACATAAACTTCCTTTTATCATTATGAACTTCCATTTATAATAGAATTGATAATTATAATAAATTACATTAAAATAATATAATCTGGTAATTTTTAACTAACTATTTTAAACATTATTTTATATTTATCAATGTATTCAATCTTATCTAATTGTCATAGATTTTGGATTCTACGTGTTGGAGTACTCACATTATCTGTGAATGGATGTTGTAATGGGATTACGCAATATCATGTATTTGCTCATAATAACAACCAGGAATGGGATTACGCAATATCATATATTTGCTCATAAAAACAACCAGGAATGCGACCACACCCAAAAGAGTTTTCGACTAAGAATACCACTTTCATAGTCGTGAGGTCCATATCAAGGACGACTGTACACGCTTTGCTCACTTCAAAGGACGCCGCCACCATATTTATAGGGGACAGCGAGACAGCCTGAGTTAGATGTACTAGGGCCGCCAAGACCGAGCGAGCCGCTTAGCCACCAGCCATTACACACAACTTACACGGAGATTATCGACTACTACAACGAGTCAACTCACGACGCTGCAATTCACCACGACTATATTAATTATTATTGGTTTTAATAAATTACAATTGATTTATATTTAAATTGACTACATTTTATTTTAAAAGTGCAACAAGCTTTTGGATCCCTGAAGGGCCACATGTAACACTGGCGCAGTCGGTATTGGTTTCTACAAAGGAGGCAACCGTCAAAGGCTACCGTCAACAAAGAAGAACTGTACACTCTTCCGAGAAGACAACTCCAAGAAGAACCATCAAAAACAAATAAGTCACGTCGCGGTACTAACAAATCCATCAGCATGTCATCAGCAACCAGGAACACAGCATTATTGTGAGTGAATAATTATTTAAATTTGTTACATAGACGTATGCAACATAATTAGGACATATTAGATAATTCTAAGTAGTTGACTATAAGTATAATGGTGTAAAACGTTTTAAAATTTTATTGAGGGCATATTTTATTGATTATGATTGAAGTTTTATTGAATTTATTGAGGGCATATTTATTGATTATTGAAGTTTATTATTGAGGGCATGTTTTATTGAAGTTATTATTGATTATTATTGAAGTTTATTGATTTATTGAGGGCATTTTTATTATTGAAGTATTATTGAAGTTTATTGAATTTATTAGAGGGCATATTATTGAAGTTATTATTGTATTTATAGGGCATGTTGAGTATTATTATGAGTATTAACGTATTAAATAGGTAGCTAAGTAATTTATGGACAAAGAAGGTACATCTCCCTTGAACGTAGCTAATTCATTGTATGACACTAGTGTAGTAGAAGAAGCCCAGTTAGAAGCCCAGTTATTAGCCCAGAGAGAAGCCCAAGCCCAGTTTGAAGCGCAACAGAAAGCCCAGTTGAATATTATAGTAGATACCCAGTTAGGAGATAGCGCAAGTAGAAACTCAAGTCCAGGAAAAATCACACGTAGCCAAGTTACAGATAGTTTTGAACATCAGTCATTAGTATTTTTACCTATAACACGCACTAAAAAAATGGCAGTAACCATAAAATTAGAAGACGCTTTTAAATTAATTCCACTATGCACAGGAATAGACGATATCTATCAATTCATAAATGCATGCGATATGGCAGTAAGTTTAGTCGACACAAATAGTGCACCAACACTAGTAAAATATATTACCACACGTTTAACGGGTAGAGCGTTAGAAATGATTAAATACAAAAATGTATCAAAATGGCAGTTTATAAAAATTTATTTAACAGACGCATTCGAAGTAACAACCAATGCATCGTCGTTACAACTTCAATTAAATTCGATTAGAATGAATCACAATGAGGATGTAAACGATTATTGCCATAGAGTAGAGAAACTATATTATCAGTTATGTACCGTAAGCACATTAAACAAAGACCCTGCAGAAGCAAAAATTACACATGAAACATTAAAAGACCAAACTCTAGCAGTATTTATTAAAGGACTAATAGAACCGATTAGAACGATACTAAAATCTCGCAATGCTAAAACTCTGGAAATCGCGAAACAAATCGCCATGTCAGAACAGGTAGAACTAAGATTAGAACAGGAAAATAGGAACCATTATTCGAATATTCATTTACAAAATTATAACCAGCGCAGATCGAATTACGAAAATAGGAACAACGAAAACATTAGACCAAATAACCCTGTAAGGACAAATAATTATCCGCGTGCAAACAATTTTTCTCAACCAATCAATAGGCCAGCAATAAAATGCTATAATTGTAATGGTAATCATTATGCATCTCAATGTAGGAATAATTCGAGACCTAGTTATGCGAGCAACGGCAATAACAACCGACCACCTGATAGGAATAATTTTATGCAACCACTTACGAATTATAATATACAGGTAGTTACGTGTTCATACTGTAATCGAACTGGTCATAATATCGACTCGTGTTATAAAAAGAGAAACGATGAGAGTAGAAACGTTAATAATTTGGAAAACGAAAACGTGTCGAACGAGAGGCGCGGTACTCGTACGATAAACCAGATTATCGCGGAACAACCGACCCACGAATATTCGACATATTCTCAACCTTAGAAAATAATCATATAACATTTAATTCATTCGCCGCTAACACAAATCAATTACAAAAACGTCACAAACCCGGAGTTCTAAATTAAAATGTAGATACTCTCACATGCATATATTCAATTCAGGAAATAAAAAACAAATCATACGAACAATATATCGAAAAGTTAGGAACACAAATTATCACAAATATTAATGTAAAAGAAACTATAGGTACACTAATAGATTCACAAAAAAAATATAATATAGTATCAGAAATTGCCAAGCAATATAATTTTAAAACAGGAACGAATTATCAATTAAAAAAACAATTTGGAAACGGTACAATATTGCCGACTAGTAAAGTAATAGGAGACACACCCTATTTCAAACAGGAAAACAGGTTTATAATATTCTTAGAAAGCATACATTTATCACTAATAAATTTAAAATCATTTTGTAAGGAAAACAATCTGAATAAATTAGCCATGGGCAAGATAGGCGATCACGATCACGATGATTTAGAAAGGGAAAAAATAAGGTCAATGTTACAATACATATTTTGCAATACAGATATAGCAATAATTACATGTGCAAATGTAGAATATAGTGAAGAAGAAAAAGCAGTCATTTTTTCACAATTTCACGACTCAAAACTAGGCGAACATTTAGGTGTGAATAAAACCATTAAGCGCATTAAAAAAACAATTCTTATGGAAGGGTATGAAAGAAGATGTTAGAAAATATATTGTGCGTAATGTCAGGTTAATAAGGTATCAAATTGGCACATAAAACATCCAATGGCTATTACATCCACTTCGTCTAAACCATTCGAAAAAATATTTATGGATATGGTAGGGCCCTTGCCGATTACACTGTCCAATAATGTATACATTTTAACGATGGAGGACGATTTGACACGTTACACTTTAGGAATTCCACTTCCTGACCAGAAGGCAAATACTGTTGAGGAAGCTTTTGTTACACACTTCGTATGTGTACACGGTATACCAGAAACAATACTCACGGATCAAGGAACTAATTTCCTCTCGAAAACGTTTGCAAATGCTTGTAAAATATTAAAAATAGAAAAGGTTAACACAAGCCCATTCAGACCGCAGGGTAACCCCGTAGAACGCGCTCATAGGACTTTAGCCGAGTACTTACGACATTATGTAGATAAGAATTTAAATAATTGGGATCATTCACTACCCTTTGCATTCTTTGTATATAATTCGACGGTACATACTTCAACGACAGATTAGTATTTGATATAGTAATACCACTGATTATTGACACTGAACTTACATTATACAGGTTAACACCAGTACCAATGCGTCATAACCAAGATAATTCTAGTGGATGGTACGTGATGGACATTACTTACAATAATATTGCTGTAACCAAAGGCTATAAAAGGTTTACTACATACACAGATCAACAATTAAACGAATATAAAGGAACATCAATATACAAAATATGTAATACACCACAACCTATACAGGACAACAATGAACGCCAACCATGCGAAGTACAAAACTTTAGAAAAGCTGACACGTATTCTAATCCTGAGTTATGTACGGTAAAGAAAATTAATTTAAAGAGAAGCGTATACCAAAAATTAAAAAGAAAAAATACATGGATTCACGCAGGAAAAGAGACTTTAACAGTAAGTTGCGCTAACTTAATAGA